CACGGACACAGCTGCCCTGCCGGAGACGGCAGCGGAGTCGATGGCCGGAGAGGATTTTGTCCCCCGCGACGAGTGACTGGTGTGCCCTCGTTCGCGTCTATAAATCGTTTTGCCTCTTTGTATGATGAATGCAGTTCCTTGCCCTACAATGAGCCCGAAACGAAAGACACACCCTCTCCTGCCCCCGCCTCGACTCCGTCTCCGACTCCGCCCGCGACTCCGGTCATCGTCCTCCGCCGCCTCACTGCCTGGGAAAAGAAACTGCCCAAGCAGTACACTGTTGCCGCTGCCCCTGGGGCGAACTCCCTCCACCTCCCGTTAGAGCTCGAGTCCACCGCCAGCGCGCTGAAGCTCTCACTCTCTGGGCTTGTCGACTGTGGTGCCACCTCCGACTTCATTGACACGAACTATGTTGCTCGGAATGGCATTCCGGTCCGCACCCTCGATCAGCCGATTCCGGTTTTCAATGTCGATGGCACCCCCAATGACGCTGGCTCCATCAAACAGATCGCGGACTTGGTCCTGCGCTACAAGGGCCATGCCGAACGAGTTCAGCTGGCCGTCACCCATCTTGGCAAGCAAGACCTCATCCTGGGGTATTCCTGGTTGCGGAAACATAACCCAGAGATCAATTGGGAAACCAAGGAGGTCAAGATGACACGGTGCCCCCGCAATTGCTCGACCTGCCGTGAGGAAGAGCGGGTCGAACGGACCGAGTTGCGGCGACTCCGGTCGCTTCAGAAGCGTCTCCGCTCCGGCCCGTTCCCCTCAGTCTGCGCCATGGACCTCTCTGGGCCTGACGACGGAGACGATTCCGTCTCCGGTGACGACTCCGCCCTGCCTGATCTGATGCCGGACTCCGACGACGATGAAGACGATGGTCAGCTTGAAGATGGTGACCGCATCTTCTACACCTCGTTCCGCCCCTCGGAGGAGATACGCGCTGGCAGTACTGTCTCGCAACGCCTGGCCGAAGCCTTCGCCAGGAACTCCGCCCCTCCGCCCTCCGAGATCCCGGACTGGGCTAAGGAGTTCCAGGACGTCTTCAACAAGGAGTCCTTCGACACGCTACCGGAGCGGAGAGCCTGGGACCACGCCATTGAACTCGTCCCCGACGCTAAGCCCACCAACTGCAAGGTGTACCCCATCTCGCCCCTCGAGCAACGCGAGCTCGGCGCGTTCATCGAGGAAGGGCTTTCGACGGGCCGGATTCGCCCCTCCAAGTCTCCGATGGCGTCTCCGGTCTTCTTCGTCAAGAAGAAGGATGGCGGACTCCGCTTCGTCCAGGACTACCGTGCTCTCAACGCGATGACTGTCAAAAACCGGTACCCCCTTCCGCTGATCAACGACCTCATCAACCGGCTCAAAGGCGCTCGTTACTTCACCAAACTCGGCGTCCGTTGGGGCTTCAACAACGTCCGGATCAAGGAAGGTGACGAGTGGAAAGCGGCTTTCCGGACTAACCGAGGCCTGTTCGAGCCCTTGGTGATGTATTTCGGCCTGACAAACTCTCCCGCGACGTTCCAAACGATGATGAATGACATTTTTCAGGACCTCATCCTCTCCGGAGACGTCATGATCTACCTTGACGACATCTTGATCGCCCATTCCGACCTCCGGAAACACCGGCAGATTGTTCAGGAGGTCTTGCGGCGACTCCGAGAGCACAAGTTGTACCTCCGAGCGGAGAAGTGCGACTTTGAAAAATCGTCAATCGAGTACCTCGGAGTCATCATCTCCCACAACCACGTCGAAATGGACCCCGTCAAGGTCGCAGGCGTCTCCGCTTGGCCGACTCCGGAAAACAAGAAGGACATTCAGCAGTTCCTCGGGTTCGCTAACTTCTACCGCAGGTTCATTCGGGACTTCTCGACCCTTGCGCGCCTCTTTTCGTGCTCACCAAGAAGGACCAGCAATGGACTTGGGGCGACGCGGAGGCCTCCGCGTTCCAAGCGATCAAGGACGCGGTCACCTCGGAACCGGTCCTGGCGATTCCGGACGACACACGGCCTTTCCGACTCGAGGCGGACAGCTCTGATTATGCGGCGGGGGCGGTTCTTTCACAATCCGCCCCGGACGGGAAGTGGCACCCTGTAGCATTCTATTCCAAAAGCTTAAATGATGTCCAGCGCAACTACGAAATCCACGACAAGGAGATGCTCGCGATCATCCGCGCACTCGAGGAGTATAGACACTTCCTCGAGGGCGCCGCGCACCCTGTCGAGATTTGGACTGACCATAAGAATTTGGAGTACTTCAGGAAGACGCAACACCTCAACCGGAGACAGGCCCGGTGGTCTCTGTACCTCTCCCGGTTCGACTTCACGCTGCACCACAAGCCTGGCCGCGATATGGGTCGGCCTGACGCCCTCTCCCGGAGACCCGACCACGGAGTCGATTCCGACAACTCCGGCGTCGTCCTTCTGCGGCCTGAACTCTTCCACGTCCGCGCACTCGAGGGCGTTTCCGTCTCCGGTCCCGGCTCTGAACTCCTCCGTGACATCCGTGATGCCCTCTCCGGTGAGCCTGACCTGGAGGAGCCCGTCGCACTAGCGGCCCGGCAACTTCTTAAGGTTCAAGGTCAAGCTCGAGGCCCCCGCTCCTCACGTTCTGACGAGTGGGCCGTCTCCGGCGGTCTTCTCCATTTCCGAGGAAAGATCGTCGTACCAAAAGACAAGGACCTCCGGAGACGCATCATCGAGCTCTGCCATGACACCCGAGTCGCCGGACACGCAGGTCGTTTCAAGACCCTGGAGTTGGTCTCCCGGAACTACTGGTGGCCTCAGATGTCTCGCCATATCGGCCGGTATGTTGCGACCTGTGACTTGTGCTGTCGCACCAAGGCACTCCGGAGACTGCCCCACGGAGAACTGCACCCCACGGAAACGCCTCCGGGAACGCTGGCATACCGTCTCCGTCGACTTCATCGTGGAGCTTCCCGAAGCCCATGGGTACGACGCGATCATTGGTCGTCGTTGACACCCTCGGAAAGCGCGCCCACTTCTCGGAGTGTCATACGACGGTCGATGCAGTAGGGGCAGCCCGCCTCTACTACCGGAATGTCTGGCGGCACCATGGGACTCCGGAGAAGTACGTCTCCGACCGCGGCTCGCAGTTCATCGCAGACTTCACCCGAGAACTTTGGCGTCTAATCGGCATCAAGCCCGCCACGTCCACCGCGTACCACCCGCAGACAGACGGTCAGACAGAGCGCGTCAACCAGGAGCTGGAGCAGTACTTGCGGATCTTCACCAACTACCAGCAGGACGACTGGGATGAGCTGATTCCGGCCGCGGAGTTCGCCTACAACAACCATGTTCACTCCTCCACGCAGCAGGTCCCCTTCATGACGGACACGGGACGGCTCCCGCGCATGGGCTTCGAACCCGGAGTCCGTTCCGCCATGGAGTCAGTGAACGAGTTCCGCGACCGGATCGCCACTGGTGTTGCTGAAGCCAAGGCCGCCTCACTAAGGCCAAAGAGGAGTACAAGCGCTACTACGACCGGAGACGGACTCCGTCTCCGGAGTTTAAGGTTGGCGACCGTGTTTGGCTGGATGCCTCTGACATCAGGACGACTCGCCCCTCGGAAAAGTTCTCCCATCGCCGCCTTGGACCGTTCAAGATAGTCGCGGAGATCAGCAAAGGTGCCTACAAGCTTGACCTCCCTCCGCGCTACTCAAGCTCCACCCGGTCTTCCCCGTCGTCAAGCTCGAGCTCGCCCAGGACGACCCCTTCGACGGACGCCCCGGCTACGACCAGCCCCTCCGGACCTCGAGGACGGAGTCCCGGAGTGGGAAGTAGAGGAAATCCTGGACGCAAGGGTGAGGTATAAGCGGCTGAACTACTTCGTCAGATGGAAAGGCTACGACGCATCGCACGACCAATGGGTCCGCTTCGACCGCGTCTTCGCCCCGGAGAAAATTGCGGAGTTCTATCGTAAGTACCCTGGCAAGCCACGACACATCGCCTCCGCGACCTTCGACTCGATTCCGTTCCGGTCTATGCGTCGGGACGCCGCATTCAAAGGGGGGTGATGTCAGGGGACCTCCCTTTCGGCCCCTCGGAGACGCCTCCGATTCCGGTCCGACTCCGATTCCGTCTCCGGTCCGGCCCTCCATCTCGCCCGCACAATCACCGATCCGTCAACGCCCTCCCGACGGTCGCCCTGGGACCTCGCCTGCGACGCCGCCCAAGCCTTCTGTGCCCGACAGCGGCAGCTACGGACAAGCAGTATATAGTCAGCTACCTAGCAGGCGGACCCTTAGAGTTTCTTCTCTTTGGATCCTCCCCTGCTAGGTCAGCTTCATTTGTATTCGCTTACCAATGTTCACGCTTTGGATCCTCCCCTGCTAGGACCTTGATCTCAGGCCTCCGGGGTTGCCCTTACACCATCATGAGAGTCGCTGAATTCGTTGGGAATGGTCTACGCTTGAGTACGGCCGCAAAGCATCGGCACCGGCTATAAATGGATGAAAAAGGATTGGAAGACAGTAAACAGAGAGGTTTAATACGTTGTGGCACGATTTCCTGAGGGTCCAAAAAGTGTTTGTGGGCTGGGGACGTTCCAGGTGGTGGTTGTCGTCAAGAAGAAGAAGAAGCTGTCATGCTGATGAGTCAGCACTTCTCTCTTGCAGCTGACGACGATTGACTCTCACAATTGACTCTGCAGACACAATGTCCCCCTCAAATCTCATGCTCCTGAATGACCCAAAGCCAGCAAACAACTTTCGATGGGCCGATTTAATCCAAAGAACTTGAACGTCTCCATGAGAGAGATAGAAGCAGCGCCGATAGCTTTCTATTGTTACGCCACTCAATGTCGTCTTTCACGTCCGCGAACGAGTTTCGCTCCCGAGTGGAGGGAGGACGGACAAGAGCCACAAGACCGCTTCTTCTGTCTTCGGCAACTCATGCCATGCAGGTGTGTTCTCGCGGTCCCGGGTCTACTAAGTATAAACGAATGGCTCGACGTGGGAGCATGTAGTCGCCCACCCTCACATGTTATCTGCAATCGTCTTCCTTCTGCTCTCCGCCTACCTTACTCGCGCCCTTTTCAACGAGGCCCGTCGGCGGCGCGCAATACAGCATATCCAAGGCCCACTTCCCAGCTCATGGCTCCTTGGTGCGCTTTTGCTTCACGTTACTTGTCGTCGGGAGCACTCACTCTCACCACTAGGCAATCTCGTGGAGCTTCAAATCCCGCAAATCTACGGCGACTTTGAATCCGCTTGTCGCAAGGCATATGGGCTTGTCTACCGGTTCAAGGGCGGGTTTGGTGTAAGTTATCAATCATTATATCTTTGAATCGCTCCAATTGCAACGCGTTGACTTTGCATTTTCTCCAGCGCGATAGACTGGCCATTTCGGACCCCAAAGCACTCCAATACATCTATAACAGCGCCGCATTCGTGAATACGCCTGCGTATGGGACACTTATCGTCTGGTTGCTCAGCGAGGGCGGCGTCAGCGGCAAAATGGGTACTTGTATTTTTTAATGCGCTGTGCCAATAGGTTGACTGACTCCATTTATTCAGGACGGGAGCACCGGGAGCTGCGTTCGGCGCTCAACGTCGGCTTTTCCCCAGCAGCTATCCGGAACTACGGAGTGATATTTGAGCGCGTTGCACAGAAGGTACGCAACAGTCAACGAAACGAATAGTCTGTTTAAACTAGGGTGTAGCTTGTGGATCGTTTGGCCGCATGTATGGACGAGAACAAACATGGAGTCGTTGATATCGTCCCTTTGTTGACCAAAGCGGCACTGGCAAGCATTAGTGAAGGTGAATTGAAGCCGTCAGTCGATATTGATCAGCCGAGACTCACATAGTACAGCTGCTTTAGGAGTACCACTGGAAGAAGTCCCGCCGGAGGTCGTTGAAACCAATCGCCAAATTGTGTGGGTCAAACACATACAATGCTCGAATGCTCTACTCACTACTACCATAACAGCGAAGAATCCGCCACGCGCAGGCCCGCGCAGCTCATCGTGGACGAAATACTGAACCTCGAGCTTCTGCCCGGCTGGCTGCTGCGCGCCATGCCCAAGTTGGCCATCGGGGAGGTCTTTAAGCGCATCAGGGACCAAGTCCGCTATACCGAGCGGCTTGGTTGGCAAGCAGTGGATAGCTATATGGAGAGGGGACTCGACGACTCGAACGCGCTAGAAACCCTCTATGGCGCGCTTCTCTCTGACAACAAGCAAGGTATGTATTCTCATCATGATAATTACTATGAATAATCAAGTTGGCTGAGCACTGTTGCAGGACTCGGAAATCTGACGGTAGAGAATCTTGTACAGCAAACATCCACGCTGTTCATTGCGGGGCAGGAGACGAGCGTATGGGCTAGCCCAGACGGCATTACCTCAAGCTGATCGTTCAATCTAGGCGATCGCGCTGTCGTGGCTATTCACCGAGCTCGCCCGCAAACCAGCGCTACAGGACGCTCTGCGCACGGAGGCGCTTGAGCTGCGCGCCAAGCAAGTTCCGTTCGAGCAGTACCCGTTGCTCAATGCGGCTATCAAGGCCAGTTACATGGCCCTTACTAAATACCTGCTTTTCAAGTGACTGTCATCGCAGGAAACACTCCGTCTGTATCCGGCCCTCCCAATTATGCATCGGATGGCCGACCAGGACGCTGTCATACCGCTTTCCCAGCCTATCACGACGACGAGCGGCAGCACGGTGGACCATATCGAGGGGTGCAAGGGGCAGCTGCTGGTGCTGTCGATCGGCTCCTTCCAACGGCGAGTTGAATTCATGGTCACCATAGCCATTTGATTATGCTACATACATATAGGCTTGAATCACGCTGGGGAGCAGACGCCGACAAGTTTGACCCGTATCGCTGGATCGAGGGGCGCGTGGTGCAGGGTGATGGGATGGGCCCATATGCAAATTTGTACGTGACCATCGTCTTCTGTCGCGACTGCAAGCTGAGGGCAGGTAGGCTGAGCTTCGCCGCCGGCCCGCATGTCTGTCTCGGGTCAGTCGCCCAGTCTCTTGTCTACAGCCCAAATGCTAACTTGCCCTACTTATGCACACTGTAGATGGAGATTTGCGTGAGTATCCTCACTTGTGGGCGTTACCGGGTTTTGAACACAGCACAACAGGATACAGGAAATGCACATCATCGCCGCAGAGCTGATCTGCAACTTCGCTTTCATGCCCGCTGCTGATGGCGTCGTTCACGCGCGACTAGGGACATTTCTCATGCCGACGGACTCGACCGGGCGGAAGTGTGCTTTGTTGAGAGTGAAAAGGGAAGCTTCAGATGTGTCGACACAAATATGAAATATTATTATTTTGTTACTAGCCTGAGCCTGAGGGCCCCAGATATCAGAATACTTCAAGTTCGGGGGCTAAAATCTATGATTTCAAGTAAAGCGTTAGACAGTTTCAAGTTTGGTCATTCGATGTTCATAGACCAGATCCGTGTTACATGAACACATCGTTAACAAACTGCATTTCGTGGAGCTGGTCAGTTTCATCGCGTAGCAGGTTCCACTTGTCGACCTCAGTGAAGCACCTGTGCGGGTTCCGCCGTAGGAAGTTTTCAAGCTCCCCATATTTGGGCCATTTGCGGACATTCGGAATCGTCAGGACGCGGCTAGCTTCCCTGTGCCACTTGTCGTAAAACACGGCCTGTAAGTTGACGTCAGAAAATAAGAGGAATATAAGTGTGAAACGTTACCCATCGCGCAAACACGTCCGGTCGCAAGATTCCAACGGCCTTTTCCAGCGGAAACTGCAAGCAGTGCCGCGCAGCGTCGTTTGCAAGAGTAGCGAAGTCGTGTGGTACAGCAAAATTCAGCACGACCAACGGATGGCGCGTGATATTCGCACTATTGTAATTGAACACGTTAGAAAGATGTCGATCCGGGAGTTGTCGATTGGCATACCGCATATGAGCATGCAGCGCCGTCATCGCAGAGTAAACGAGGTATTTCTCAGCCGCCTCTGCAACGCCGGCACAGACCGAGAACGGCAGCGCGTCGAGGCTGGGCTGCGGCTGGCGGTACATGTACTGGAACAACACCTCCAGCACGGCCGATGGCTCCGATAAGCCGATCGTCTCCTCGCTCTTCTTCGTCGCGGCCTCGAACATGTCGCCGAACACCTCCGAGTGCACCTCCAGGTTCTTGCGGTGGACCTTGAAGAGCACGTTGTCTGACGCGCAAAACGTCAGGTCGGCATCGGCCGAGGAGACTAATTAGTAATTTGTGGTATTCACTGATAATGACGGCGAAGAGAAGAGAGGTAGACGCACATCGTTCAAAGGAAATCGTCTTCGCTTCGGGCATTTTGTCAAGTTGTGGTTGCTGGAACGACTCGGAGGATGGAGGAGATTCTGGGGGAGGAAAAGGCAAGGGCGAGCGCGAGTAGTTGTCTTCGTAAGGTCTGTCACTGTGAGGCAGCCAAATCCAACAGTAGCCCGGTGGAGCTTGAAGCTGAGGAGATGGTGGTCAAGACGAAAACGTGGGTGGTAACGTCACCGGCCAGAGCGTGCGTAACAACTGCCACCCGGGGAAAAATAGCATTAACTTTTTTCGGTGTAAATGGAGAACTGTGGGCGGAAGATGAGGGGGGGAAGACTCAAGACTGAGCAGACTGGGAACGCACCTTGTCCCCCCGTTTACACTGCTCCGGACCTCCGGTTCTGCTCCCGGAGACCCGGACCCCCGGTATTTTGTCCATTCAGCCAGCTACGCGTTGTCCAGTCAGCCCACACGGTAGTAGAACTCAGAGATATGCGACACATACCAGGTCTAAACCGATATCTGTTGCGGTAGCGTATTGCTTGGGTCAACGGAAACCAGGCCGTCTGCGCTCTCCTCCGCGGATTGCTCTCCTAGTAGAGCCGGCTAGAACCACATTTTCGCTGTCGAGCTGAGGACGATGTGACGCGGAAATCACCCGCCCACAGAGGCTGTAGAGCGGCCACGAGTCCACAGCACGCCACCGCTTTGGAGGTGGTGCCGGCAAGAGAAGAAAATCGATTTCCTTTTTGGGAACGGCTTGGTTGTTCCCGACCATAGGAGTATGCCATTTTGCCATTTGGTGCGTCTGCCATCGATACTGAGCTTTCCGCGTCGCTCACAGTGTGTAGATGCTCAGTTGCAGGAGCTTTTGGTTGTTCCATGGCATCGATACGGCCCCTCCCGCGTCGCTCACAGTATGCAGATGCTCTGCCGTCGATCGCATTGCCGTGGACCATGTCACGGACAGCGTGACATTGAAAGCCTGCGCGCTTGCCGGCAAGAAGCTGCAGTGACTCTGTCACTCGCCGCCCGCAGAAGCTTCAGAGCGGCCACGACTCGACAGCACGCCACCGTTCCAGAGGTGATGCCGGCAAGAGCATTAAATCGATTTCTTATTTAGCAAACGACCTTGTTGCTCCCGACCATCACCAGGAGTATGGAATTTGGTGCGTCTGCCATCGATACGGCCTTTCCTGGGTGGCTCACACTTTGCAGACGCCCTTTCGCAGGAGCTCGTCGACCTCATCGTCGACCATGTCGACGACAGCGCGACATTGAAATCCTGCGCGCTTGCCGCGAATAAGCTTCGTCCCGCCGCTCAGCGCAACCTCTTCTCCTCGCTGCAGATCATGGCGCCCCTTAAGCCACCGATGAGTTCATACCCCACCATCGCGCAACTGGACAGCATCTTTTCATCTGCCGCACATCTCCCGCCCTACGTCCGCTGTCTCACATTGCGTGGCGACCCTGAGCGCCATGTCGTCACGTGGATCAATTCCCCAGAGCCCGCGGCCCTCATCTCTCGCTTCAACCATCTTACTACGCTTGTAATCGACTGCGAGGTGTTCCAGATGTTTCCCAATGCCTGGGCAGACCTCGTCCATCTGGCGACCAAGACCGCGCTGGCGAGCCGGCTTACGCTACCCACTATGCGGACGCTGGTGCTCCGATATCTGCCGCTCGCCAAACTCGTCGAGCTGCTCCAGCTGATTCCAGAGCCCTGGGAGCGTCTGCACATCCAACATCTGTTTGTCAACATCCCGGACCTGGCAATCAACGGGCGGCTTGACCCCCCGCAGCTCGAGATACCTGCCAATTTACAAAGGCGCAAGCTTCCGCTCGAGACACTCGTGCTGGATGGCCCTCTCGCCGACTTCCCGCCGTGGATCCCTGACTTCATCAATGTCCCCGTTCTCCGTCAACTCCACATCATCGTCCGCCTCGTATGGGACGAGACATTCGCGCAGTCCGTGTTCATGGAGCGTGCGACCGCGCTGGAGCACCTGCACATCGTCCTTGACCAGCATCTCATGCCCATCGACCTTGGGATCCCGGACCTTATGCCTCCCCGCGTCACCTCCCTCGCTATCGGCCGCCTGCCCAACCTACGGACGCTCCGACTCCAGTTCGCACTTTTGACCGACCTGAGGACCGTGCAGCTGGCGGTCGAGTGGGTCCGCAGTGTGCTCGCGTGCATCACACCCCCCAGTCCCATGCGCCACGTCCTCCTCGACGTCACGCTCGCGTTTGGATCGGAAAGGCTCGGGCCGGAGCTGTCCGGGGATCCCGACATACACAACCTCTTCGCCGGCGCGCTCGCGCCGTTTCTGGTGCCCTTCATCTCCTGGGCACAACAGCAGGTACCCCTCGTCCCCGCCCTCATCGTTCGCCTCCACTTGGCTCCCGGCGCGCCGGACGCTCTTGTCCTGGCCAGATCCGCCCTGCTAGACACCTTCAAGCCCTTCAGGCTGCCGCACAGGGTCGTCGTCGTCGAAGCGGCCTAATTGCGCCGCTGGACAGTTGAAACTGTGCCAGTGCTGCTCTAGTCGATTTGTTCTTTCTTGTATCTGCATTGCACATTCCCCGAGGCTGTTCACGCTGCCTAGCACCGCCTCTCGATCATCCAGTAACCTCAGGCTCTCCATTGCCAATCCTCCTCTCCGAGTCGTTGACCGACTGCAATACTTACTATTACTCAATGTTCACGATTACATCATTTACATGCACATACTGCTAGTCCTAGTCCTTACTTTTTGCATCACTAAATAGAACTGCCCGCGATATGAGAGCGACCCGACCGATTAAGTTTGGCGTCTCCCAATACTCGCATTCTCACTGGAAGGCGCAATAACTTGTATGGGGAACATACTGTAAAAAAAGTCTTTGATACATGTCTTAAACTGGATACAACTTTTTGGAGGTACAACTTGTCTTTTTTAAGGTTTTTAAAATACAACTTTGCAAATTAGATACAATTTTTGTTACCTTTCACCCTATGTACAAGTCAACCTCAAAGACAACTTTTCTGGTGACATATATAATGATATATTTTAGTCTGACTAGTGTATGGGGGACATACTTATGGGGGACATACTGTAAAAAAAGTATTTCATACATGTTTTGAAATGAATACAACTTTTTGGAGATACAACTTGCCTTTTTTACAATTTTCACATACAACTTTAAAAATTAGATACACCTTTTCACCCTGTGGACATGTACAAGTCAACCCCAAAGACAACTTTTCTGGCAACATGTTTTACTCTGGCTGGTGACATGTTTATACTTGATGACAACCCCCCAAAGACATGTTCAACTTTACCAAGTCCAACTTTTCTGACTATTGACAACTTATAATGAGCAGACAACTTTTCCAGCAGCATCTTCAACTTTCTTAGATGCAACTTGGTTTTTCATTTTGAGTACCACTTTTTTCAAGTACAACTTTCTTTCTGAGGTACAACTTTCTTAAGAGCTACTTCAACTTAGAATGTCGGAAAACTGAGAAATAGGTTATCGGCACCAGTAGGGCCCAATCAGGCAATATAAGATCATCAGATTTTCGTGTGCATATCAGCTGCAAAACCTCCCAATGCGATCCAATTTGCCCTGACCATCCTTTTGGGACCTTATCAGAGCTTGTCTAGGTTATAAGGTCATATCAGGATTTCACCTAGAAATAGGAATTATACAAAAAAATCTTCATTTTTTGTACTTGCTTCTAGCACTCACACTCTTTCAATTGCAGAAGTAGTTCATTAGCTATCAGAGGTCAGAGCTGAGATCACAGTGGTATTTGAACACTTACAAGAGAATTAAAGATACAGAGAACTACCAGTACACTACGCGACTATATAATTTATAGTGCTTAAGCTCCATATATGATGCTCCAGTGGAGCGTCATATGACTTCATCGATGCTGTGTGGAGTGACTATTAGATTGAACAACGTCGATATATGCTAAAGGGTAACATTGTGATTACTTATACTTAATCGGCATCCTCCGACTCTGGCCACTTCCTCCATCAGCGCCGCGAGAGCCGCTTGGTTTCCCGTACTCTTGGCCTGACCACGATGCCCACATGTTGAGCGAGGGAAGATAGTCTCGTTCCATACTTTGAAGATGTTGAGAATGCTAGGGCTTCTGTTGCGCAGGCCAGTGACGAGAATCTCAAGGTATTCTTCGAAGCGGTCGCCGTAATTGATTCCAGTCTGGCGCCCTATTTCGGAGAATTGCTCGTCAGCAGACAGAGCCCAGATTGCCCGCAAAAGCACATTAGTGTAGTGTCGGGCATAATGAATGTTATTCACCATGACAGCAGAGAGTGCAATACCACCAGCAGTGATTTCTTGAAGATCAAGAATGGACGCCATATCATCATTGGATGGTGGTGGAACGACGACGACAGGTGCTTCGCGAGGATTATTGGTGTGGGCTAACTTGTATTGGTCGGTCATCACTCCTGCAGTCGATGGACCATGAATCAATGCGGCGTAGAGCTGTAAAAAAGGATCAGCCAAACCAAAGATAAAGATGAGACAGACACAAAAGAGGCACGGGTGAAGAAGGAATGTCTTGAGATTGAATTCACTAGATTCGTCTTCATGTAGGATTGGGATGTCGAGGCTGCTGTAACGAGCACCGTCGTTATCGTTACCTGTGAGCCAGCCGATCTTTTCTTGAAATTTATCTCGTGCTTGCTGTGTGCGAAGGTCAGAGGCAGGGCAGTTGAAGATGTCTGCGCCAGCCTGTCGTCGAACACGAGTGCTGAGATTGGGTCGTTGGTCGCCGATTGCATCCATGAACTGTATTGAACACATTAGTAGTAAAAAACACTAGGAAAATAAACCACGCACCAGCTTCGAGACGGTGTCTTGTGTCTGTCTATCGCTGAGGTCATACTTCTCAGGAAGTATATCAACAATTTCGTGAAGCTGGGCTTGCTGCTTGGTCTCGCGGTCTTTGAAGCGCTGCTTGACGTCGAAGTCCTTGTCAAGCGGGATGGCAAATATTTTCCTCTTCCCCTCAACCCAGAGCCCCT